AAGTGATGATTAGACTTTTTTTGCGTTAGATCCTTTAAAAAAAATGAATTTCCATCTTAATGTCAGGAAAATGTTACAAATGATCCACTAATTTGATCAATTTATGTAAGGATGCGATATAATAATTTGTCATTAAACTTGGTTCATTATGTTAGAATCTTAATCACAAATTGTGCAATAGCATTTATATCATGAATTATGCAAAATGCTAATGTGGAAATATGGCAAAATTCTATATTTTTTTTTATTAATTACTAATTAATAAGTTAAGTATTAATAAAAAATTTTAAAAAAATTTCACAAATAGTCCAATAACTTGTAGTATAATTGAACTTAGCTCATTGTTGATATTTTGTTCGCAAATGTGTAAAAGTTCTTATTTCAATCACCAAATTTGACATAGTATAATAATGATCTAATGTGGAATGTGAATGCTAATTGAGATGATAAAAAAAATAAAAATTGGACTTCTAACGTGGGGGTGGTCGGTCTCCTCTGAGGGCTTGGGTGCATTTCGTTGTTGATTAGGTTTGTAGTTGTTGGTTTGGGTTGTTACTGGAGTTGTGCTGGAGGAGGTGATGATTACTAGGTCCCGGAGCTGTATTTCGGGGGTGTTCCGTTTTAAAGGAGGTCTAGGCTTTGTTGATGCCAGTCGAGTAGCCTTAGCCGTCTGAATGTCGGAGTTTGGAGTTCGAGGCCTGTGTTGGGGGACTATGATCCTTCTTTTTTCAGGTTGTCTTTGGTTGTTGTCTTTTGTTGGATAAAGAGTTTGTTTCTGAGCGGCAATAAGGAGGGCTTTATTGTATTGTTTAGGTGTGTGTCGTAGTTTTTTTTGTTTTTCTTTTAGTTTTTATTTTCAGTCCAACTGCTTCTAGCTTTTTGTCTCATTTATTGAGTTTTTTGTCTCCTTTTTGGCGTTCTTTTGCTTTGCGAGTGCTTGTACCCATTTGGTCGCATGTGTAATTCCAATGAAGGTTGGTCCAAACTTTGTTTTGGTTCCAGTGGTGTCCTTTGACACCTTAGATGTACTCTTTTTTTGAGTTTTTCAGTTTTAATATATTTATTATTTCAGAGAAAGAAAAATGGTTGAGGAATAAGCAAATTTTATGAGTTGAGTGTGTGGCCGAGGAAATATGAGTGCATTCCCTGACATATTAGACTGTTTCATATTTGGCAAAAACAAAAATAAAATAGCAGTAATTATTTTTTTTAGCATTTCATACTAGACATTCATCACGCCACATTAGAGCATCTCCAATGAAACATTGTCCATTTTGTGTTATATGGCATAGACAAAAGAAATTAAAAAATTATGCCTCCAATGCTTAATGTTAATTGTGGTATTATTTGTGATGTGTAAAATTGTAATTGGTTGGAGAAAATAGATAAATTGAATAAATAATATAATACATAATATAAGTTGTATAGAATAACTTCTACATCTAGAACGACGTTTTGACATTTTTCATGCCACATAGGATTATTATTTGTGTCATGTGACAACAAAATAGAGCAATGAAAATGCTATTAGAGTTTTGTTACGTAATGAAATTTGTTGGTTTTTATGGCCAATGTGGTCTATTAGGGATGCTCCTTTAAGTCACTCCCGTTGTAGCCCCTATTGGGGTCTTCACTTTTTTTTTTTTTTCGAAACGATAGATTTCATATACGCAACAAAATAAACAGAGTTTTTACAAATCGAAGGGCAACTAGTCTACAAAAGCCCACATAACGAGTGATGAACACTTCTAGGCAACAAAACCAACTAAACAACTATAAAACACCAAAAGAAGAGTTTGCATGCTAGCTGGTGGCAACGCCTAAACCATTGTGTGCATCAGCTAACCTCAAACTCGATATCCCCAAAAAGGGTTCAACAACTGCACTAACAACCAAAATAAGAATCTGCACACATCCTACCACTAACTAACAACCAAAAACACCCTTAAAACTGCTACCAACTACAACAAAAACAGATATAATAAAGCCATGCTCCTCACACAGCTGCACACTGTCCCCAGTCTTTTCCAGCAAGTTCAGCAACAATTTTGTCTTCCATCCAGGAGTCTTCAAAAATCCACAAGTTTCTAGCTTTCCACAACCACCAGAGAATGTATGTGGAAAGATGTATTCTTGCTTCTGAGGTTGTTGTCTTGTTTAGACTGCACACATTGGGCCACCATCCCTGGAAGTTATCTGTGTGATTGCTCAGCAGATTTTCTTTTGCTCTTTGACACTAAAAAAATAAGTGTTCCACTGTCTCAGGCTTTTCTCCACATCCTTTGCAAATACAATCTATGTCCATCCCTTTCTTAATAAGATTACAGTTAACAGACAGAGTGTTTGTTAGGCACCTCCATAGAAAATGCTTTAATTTACTTTTTACTTTTAGACCCCAGCTTCTCTTCCTAGTTGCCATTTGCATTGATTGACCTCTGTTGCTCTCTGCATAGTCCATTATTTTCCATTTTTTGGGCCACCAGCTTTGAGTAGGTAGAGGAGACTGAGAATGCTCCATTAGTCCCACTATCCCAAACTAGCATGTCTGGTGTTAAGGGATCAAGGCTTTTGATGTTGAGAATTGTCTGGGCTTCTGTGTCAGTGAATGTTGACTGAACTAGTTGAGTGTTCCAGTGCCTGCCTGTTTGATCAATCAAATCTTTCACCCAGATGAGATGAGTTGTGGTGTCAGTAGGGGATGATGAGAGTTTAAAACCTAACAGAGATGGGACCCATGGAAACTCCCAGATTTTCATTGATTTTCCATCTCTGATATCATATCTTGCTCCTTCCTGCATAGAGTCTCTGACCTCAATCCAGCTGTTCCACAACCATGATCCATTCTTCTTCTTAGGCACTGTGAATAAGCTTTCTTGTGGGAAGTATTTGGCCTTGAGGACTTTACAGACCAGCAGGTTTGGTCTTGTCAACAGCTTCCAGAGTTGCTTAGCAATGAGTGCTCTGTTGAACAAAAGGATGTCTTTGAAACCAAGACCACCTTTAACTTTGGGGAGTGTAAGATAGGTCCATGATTTCCAATGAATTCCTCTGTTCTGATCAGCCTTTTTCTTCCACCAGAAGCTTGCAAATGTTTGAGATATTTTACGGCATAGTATTTTATAAAGTGCGAAGTATTGTTTTATAAAGTGCAACATTCTACTATATAAAGTGCACTAATTTATACTTTCCCATGTGTATTTGAAAACTAGTTTTAATAGATATAATTTTACATCAAATTAACCTAAATAATTAAAATATCTTTTCGTTTTTTATGTTTATCATATACTTTATTTATTATTATAAATTATTTTTAAATTATTTTAATACTTTAGATTATTTTTATAATAATTTATTTATTATTTAATATATATGCAAAACAAAATATATAAAAAAATTATTTTTATTAACTTTCAATAATTACAGATTTGACTCATGGGGTTAAATTGAAATATAATTAAAATTATTAAAATTACAAATAGGTCCCTAGACATAATCTAATCTAATTCTAGAAAAAGGCTCAATCCCACAATCCAATTTCATATTTTCACATCCCTCGTATCACCACCTCTCACATCGACGAGGACGTGGCTCGAGTGCGGCAGATGTCGAGGCGACAGCGGCATGGGTCGAGGCAGCAGGGTTGCGGCGGATATCAGACTGAGTGTGTGAGGAGTGGATGACGATGATGGCGTCGCGCGATGAAGCCTCGTCTGTCGCAATGGAGACGTGACAGGCAGCAAGGTTGCGGCGGGTCTGCGGCGAGTGGCTGGGCGACGACGATTGGCGGGGTTGCGACAAACAATGGTGCTATCTATGTGTGTGTGTGTGTGTATGTGTGTGTATGTGTGTGTGTGTGTGTGTTGCACGTGAGTATGTATGGTTGTGCGTCGAAAAAACGCCGACGTCCGTTGCGTCTGGTGGCTGTGCGGCGGCGATTAGAGNCCTAAGAAATGCTGGACCAACCCGCACCCGCCACGGGCCGCGGGTTTGGCGGGCCAGGCCCGCCAATTTTTTTATTTTTTTATTTTTTAAGTTGTTTTAATTAACATATTATAATATAATACCTCAAAAACTCTGAGAATGAGGACCTGAGGAGTTGTGCTTTTATATTTTTGTTTTAAATTAGGGCATTAAGAACCAACAAAAAATAGGGTGATTTTTTAGGGACATGAGTAAATTGGTAGGAATCGGCTCACCGCTCATGCTTGTAGATCAAAGCCTAATGCTCAAGTTTCATCCATGGGAGGGAGTAAAGGGTCCTTTTAATCTCGAAAAAGGCACACGCCACCCCCAATCTGCCGGAAATCTGAGAATCAAATTACATGAGGAAATGAAAGATAGAAATTGAAGTTTTCTTTTCTTTTTCCCCTATTTAACAGAAAATACAGTGAGAATAATTTGGATAAAAAGATATATATTGTGTGTATTACAACAAAGTGCAAATTTAGGTTTCGGCGGAGGCACATGATTGAGAATGAGTACATGTTGTTCTTATATATATATATATACATATATCATATAATTGACGGGTCAGCCCGCGGCCCGTGCGGGCTGGCCCGTTTAGGCCCGCTCCCCAGTGGGCCTATAAAATCATGGCCCAACCCATTCTTTTTGCGGGGAGAGGCGGGCTGGCCCGCGGGCCACAGGCCAAATTGACAGCTCTAGCAATGATGGGTGGTGCGCTAGAGAGAGGTCAGAGATGAGGAGGCGGGACGTCTGTGTTGGTGTATGTATCTGTGTGTAACGTGTGTGTGGTAGTGTGTGTATGTGTGAGAGAGAGAGAGACAGAGAGCGAGAGAGAGAGAGAGAGAGAGAGAGTGCGGTGTGGAGTGGGGTTGGGTGGCTGATGGTTGTTGGCAGGTAATTGGTAGGTGTATTAATGTGGAGTAGAACCTACCTCTTTGAATGTAGTATGAATAAATACCATGATGCCTTTAATAAAAGTATAATTTTAGCTTTTTTAAGTTGTTGGATCATTCAATCCTATGGATGAGTATTCTCATTTCTTTCACTAATAAAAGTATATTTATGTGTGAACATATATAAGTAAATATATCTATATATATTTGTGTGTGTGTGTGTATGTAATATTAAAAACAATATCATTTTTACTGTTTTTGAAATATACATATTATTTTAAATAATTAACATTGTTAATTTTTTAATTATTAGTTTTATACATAATTTTTGTCATTATATTATAATAATACAAACTTTTTTTCTTATTTCTTTTGATACAAATATTTTATTTTAATGCATCCCTGTTGTTCACGGGCATTATACTAACTGCAATTATTCTGTTTAATTTTAAAAAAATGAATATATCTTAAATAAAAATAAATAATATTTCATTCAAAATAATATTTAGAATTTAAAATAATATTACAAATTCTAGTACTTTATTATTAATTATTTATAATTTAAATTTTAGAATAAGAATTTTATTTCTTTTTCATTCTTTGCTGCACAATTAATTTTTTTTTTCAAACACTTGTGTAGGGGTGTTGTACTAGTTTTAAAATATAATATCATTATATATTTAGCTTATAATTTTAATATTATATGTGTAAATGTAACTTATAATATTTTATATTTGAAATATAATATCGTTATCTAACTTATAATTTTAATATTATATGCATACAAATAATTTTTAATATTTCATTCATATGGACATTAATACTGGTTATACTAGTTTGAATTTATATAGGTATATAAACATGTATTAAGGGGGTGATTGGATATGAATTCAATTAGTAAAAAATTGGTTATATTTCAATTATAGTTAAGTTTGAAAAAAGGTGGTATGATTAGTTGTTAGTGAATATATATTAAAATAATATTTAAAATAAAATAATTAAAGTTGATTTGATATAAAAGTAAGAGAAAATGATTGGAAGGTAGTTAAAATTATGTCAATAGATGAATAGTGAATTAAAGTTGATGTGATGTATAAGAATGATTGATCGATATTATTTAATTATATTGATGATATTGGAGATAGTGAAGTTGAGTTGTGTTGTTGGTTGTTTACAATCGCCAGTGATCCTAATTATATATGCGTCGTGTCTCCAGTGCACTCTTTTAAGGCCGGCAATGACTTTAACTTTACTGCAGCCATGTGGTGGCAGTGAAGTGGGTCCACCACTTTCTCCAGCTTTTCAGCCTTACGATATGTTTTACTTTCTAATTTCTATCTCTCACTTTGGTTCCCGCGAAAGATCTTTACCCACATTATTTGAGCGCCTATCCAAATATCCTGCCCAATTTGTCCAATAATGGTCATGGATCAACAAAGGTTGTTATGAGCTAATCTAATTAGTTTATTATATTTCTTGTTAAAAGCATCGTATAGAGTAAACTTATTATATTTTTATGTGTATACCATTGTATGTATGTATGTTGAAATATAATTTGTCGGTTCAAAAATGTCCGAACCGTTGAAAAAACCTTATACCAATTTAGTACGTAAAATACTTCTGACCGGCGGAGATCGTCCAGGTCTTGAACTCCTCTGTCGGTTGAACACCTTAAGACCTACAAAAACCTCACACCAGCGGGGTTTTTCAGCGAAGAGCCTCTGATGCTTCAATGAATATGTGCGGAAGATGAAGTGTATAAAGTATACAATGTTTGGGTAACGTAATGGCTGAAATTGCACATCCAACCCCTATTTATAGAGGTGGTTACCTGCTTCAAGAAGCTTGCCCGAATTTGGTGAGCTGGTTGCCCAAGCTGCCCGAGCTTCCCGATAGTACAACCCGCACTGCCCACTTTCAGAGGCGGTTGCAGGGTGTGGACAAATCAGGTAGTGCCACGTGTATCATTAATTATGGCCTTAATCCTTCGTATTAGACCACCTAGTAGTGCGCCCAGGTCAAGGTCTGCTGAAGTAGAATATTGATTGTCCTGGACCAAGTGCTGCTCCTTCTGGTCGATCATACGACCAACTATGCCTACATGTAGAGTTTTTACCAGGCCATCTGAGGACCCTAACTCAACTTGTTTTTCCTGCCACCTTATACTGCTTTCTAGATCGAAGGCTCTTAGTCCTGTACCGATGATGATTCAACCACCACCGACTCTGATGGCGGTATCCAATATTAATATTGAGTTAGAAACCGCAGTTTTTTTAGGAGAAGTTACTTCAATCAAAAACAGATCACAAAATTTGTTCTTCCGCTTCTCCTTCCTTAGAATCCAAATTTGTGTCTATTCGCAAAATTGCGTTTCAGCTTTTCATTTTAGTATTTGGTCATTTCTCTTTTTCGAAATGGCAAAATGAGTTTAAATAAATCTTACTTTGATTGTAAAATACTAAAAAAAAAACTTAATTTCATGAAAATTAGATAATATAATATTTAAAATAATGAATATAACATTTATTGTTTCATTTTTATTATTTACAATAAGTGTAAAATATTTTATATTTTCTTGTATAAATAATTACAACAAACCTATAAAAAATATATAAAAGAAAAAACTAACATTAAATTAAATAACAACAACTTACATATCTTGAAATATGATTAAACATTTCGTGACAAACCACGAATTAAAAAAAAACACATATTAATAATAGGTTTTATTATATGATTTCTTAATCGAACTTAAAATAATAGTGTGGTTTAACTTGTAAAATTGTAAAATATGTGGTTATTGAAAAATTGTAAAAGTTGTGTTAAAAGATAATATTTTGGAATAATCTTCTGTTTTGAGAATGAGTTTTTCATGAATTTATTTTTGATGTGACAGTTACTACAAAACGAGTTTGATAATGAATTTTCGGTTCGAGATGGCACGAGCTCATAATCAATTTTTAATAAAATAATATAGATTTACAGTATTAATATTATTTTTTATTTATATTTTTTCTCAAGTATAACTATTCAGTGAAAAATTATGTATATTCATAAAAAGTATGACTGATGATTAAATTTGACTAGAAATTCTATGGATGGAGTCATCCATAACTTTATGTATTGACACATGTTCAATGTGTATTTATTACATGACACGTGTCAATACACCATTTGTGAATAAATATGGATGGCTCCACAAGCCGAGCCATTCGATGGCTCCATAGCAAAACTGTAAATTTGACTGGCAATATCATTATCATTTATTTGTTTAAAAATTATGTTTCATAGTAGGCTGCTGGTAGGCTTATTGTTAATTGTAGTTATTTTTATTCTGAACTCCACTACTCCAATTTAATCAAATTGTCAAATTAATTTCGAACCGAAAAGTAAATAACCGGATGAACTTTATTTATATGTAAAAAACCCTTTCGTCTCATCTTTCAAAAAGAAAAACTTTAGATCCGCCCCGCCTCAGGCATGCTGTTGCACTATCCAAGCTGGTTTCCACCGAGTCGGGGCTGGGGCCACCCTTTTCCGCCTGTTCTGAGGCCTTGCAGGGGTGTGGTCGGGCTCGCTGCTCGCTATTTCCTGGGCCAAAGTCGGGTCGCCGGTCGTCAGCGTCAGGCCCCTAGCCTCCTGAGTTTGCCGGTCGTCGGTGAGTATGTGTTCATGCTCCTCTGTTTTCGCGTCTAAGAATGCGGCTCGCTGTGCTTTTGGACCCCTTTCGAGAGCCCTCCGGTGTGGGTCATTGGTGGCTTTTCCAGCAGGTCTCCTCCTTCCCCAACGTGGTTGATTTTTCGGAGAAAAAAATTTGAATCGAGAGCGGACTCTTCATTAGATCCGTCTAGGCGGCACCAGTGGCTGCCGTTTTCAGATCCGTCTAGGCGGCACGAGTGGCCGCAGTTTTCGGGCTTGAGGTTTCGGTTTACTGGCTTTGTTGGATCGCTATGCTATTTGAAGTGACTCGTGTACGGTCTCGGGTGGCCGGGGGTTGGGTCTATTAGGTGTAAGGAGGTTTTAGTTTATTTGTACATTAGGTGTGTGTTTTTATTTGTTTTTCGTGTGTTAGTCCAGCTTGTCTGGTTTTATCTTCTTTATGGAGTTTCGTTTTGTTTTTGCGGTTGCCTCCTTGATGGAGTTGTACCTCTTAGATTCCTCTGGAATTTCAAGAGGGTAGGTACAATTATCTGGTTCTTTGGTGTCAGTTGATNAACATACGAATTGAGTTTATTTTTGAGATTTAAGATAACACAAGTCACATTATGTAAATAAATAATATATTATTTAATGTATTTTTTTACTTATTTATGTATTTATTTATATGATTTTAAAATTTATAAATTTCACATATTTTATTTCCAATATTTAAATAATAGTAAATTATGTTGCCATTTTTTTGAATTTGTAAAATTGTACGATATGAATATTTTTTACTTATCTTGTCAACTTAGTAGTTGACGTAGTAATATAAGGTACAACTTAGGGTATGTATTCGCTTGAAATTTATAAAGACTTTAAGATTTCAAAAATCTTGATGTATTTAATTTAGATTTTTTAAGGCTTTTAAAAGTCTCGAGATATTCATTTGAAATTTAAAAAGTATTACGAAATCTGAGGTATTTAACTTATTTGATACTATGATTTGTAAAGACTTTTTAAGATTTGTTGAGATTTCAAAAGAAGAAATCATTATCCTACTCCAAACCTCATCTCTACTATTGAGTTCTTGTAGGTACACAAGCTGCGGTTCAAGCAGATCGGAGCTCATTTCAACTGGTCCTATCCAGATCTAGGTAGTGACCCATCATTTTGACGCCGTCAGTGAGGAGTTCTTGAAGGAATTAAGAGCTTCGCACCAGTTTTCGATCACATGACATGGCTGAGAAGGAGAGCATACAGATGAATTTGAGTGAGGATTTCTAAGGAACATGGACAAATTGTTGGGATCTGTGAGGATCTCGTTATGTACAAGTCATGAATTCAATAGCAAACGTAAACCTATGCGCAGCGGATCTAAAGGTTTGACGTAGAGAACTTACGGCTTAAAATTTATGTAGATTTGGTTGACCACGAACGGTTGACCGCAAATGATTGACCGCAAATCACGTCTTGGGTTGCACGAACAAGATCAGATCAAAAGCGGATCAAACGGGTGCAAACAGATGTAGACGAACTTTACAGCCTGGGAGCTTCCGTAGGCGCGTGCGGCGTCGGACGATGGTGATCTCGGCGGCTATGGAAAGCTCTTGTCGAGACGGTCGTCTGGGTATTCTGTGCGTCTCAATCGGACCTCCGGTTAGTTCTGTAGGACAAAATATATTTCGTCTCGGTTTACCTATAGATATTCTACTGTATTACTCAATACACCCTTCTTCAACTTGTACCAGTGGAGCAACAAGAAGAAGATAAAGCTCGAATGAGATCTAGAGTGAGAGAGAGGCGTGTGAGGCGTGTATCTCATGTGAATGAGATTTCTGTTCTCTTCTAATGAGCTTAATGATGTATATATCGAGCTACAGTAGGGACCCTTAGGAGATTAGAAAAAGAGCTCCTTGATTAATTAGACTAACTGTGGGCCAAGCCCACTCCTCCAATTAATTAAATAATATTAATGGGCCACCAACATTATATTATTGCATTCCCTTTTTCTAGCCCAAATTATATTTGAGACTCCAATAATAATTACTCGATTTACCTCCCACGTTTAAGATATAATGTCCATTAATTAATTCGATTACTGACAATCAAGAATTAATTAATTTATTATTATTTCACCAAAGCTAGCGCTCGTTCATCACATTCTTATTATGCCGGAACTTAATACACCTGCAGGGTTTAGCATAACAATCCTTCATGAACTCACTCCAGGAACATTATCAAACTAACGCAGATGGTGACCATAAATATCCTAACAGCACATCTAATATATAATAATATTACCCAAAACAGTAGGAATATTAATCCAACGAACTGAACTTCACCCATGTGAATCAAAGTTATATATTATATATATATCTGTCTGTTTAATATCTTACGGATTAACAGAACGCAGTAATTAACCGAGGCCTAGGTCATTTACGACGATCAGTATAAAATGAACTTCTACTCTCTGGGATCCTGTTCAATACATAAATGTACTAGTGCAACTAATCAGTCAAGACAAACTGTACAGTTGACACTACAACCGTTCGGATGGGGTGTTCATGTTCATCTAGGTTGTGAACAACTATTCTTGTTCGCAAGTAACTGATAGAGTGATATTCGGTTCGCCCGATGACGACCCACTCCATCTAAGTGCAGAACAACAGAACGTAGAACTTGTTTAATCTAACACGATTTTCATTCATAAAAGGCAAATGTATAATAACATGCAAAGCCAAGCTTTCAGCATATAACACTAACACAAATAGGAGACCTCCGGTGGTTCCAGCCCCAAACCTATGATTTTCATGTTGGTACTACCACCGTTCGGTGTGCACGCGCCACCTGGGACGTGTGTGGAAGAGGAGACGCCAATTACCCCACGAGAAGTAAAAATTCAGGTATTGTCCCAGGAAGGAACCAGTCAGATGATACATCTAAACTCTGGAGTTGGAGGACAAGAATCAAGGGAGGTAGCTCGAGATGCTGGGAAGCAAGTAAAAGGAACGCAAAGGCGAGAAAGAGAAGGGTCTTAGACACAACAACCTCGTCCTGAGGATCAAATCGTACGTACATGGTCGGGTAAAACACCAACTTCTGCTCGGGTAGAGCTGCAAAGGATCATTGCGGAGGCCGTGGCATCTCGATAAAAGCAGGTACCTCGACCTAAACAACCACCTCGACCTCATCAGAAGAAGCACGCCCAGTCGAATGAACAACACAATAATATGAGATGAGAGGATAAGGAGTCTTCTGTTATAACTATCAATCAATGGGCCAAAAATGATGCTTGGAGAGGTTAATGGATCAGGTCTGCGACCTACAGGCTAAGGTCGAAGGAAAGAGAGGAGGCAGCTCGAGTGGACATCCCTTCTCTCAATACGTGTAAAAACACTACTTCCCATATATGCAATATTTGCAGAATCTTGTCTCAGCTATTCCATATCTCCATGATCCTCTTTCTATGTTAGCCTCAAACGGCGTCCCTGTCCCTGTCCCTGTTCCAATTCCGCATCCAATCCTCCATGCAACTTGTTTCTTCAATAAATATGTATGGAATAAAGACAAGTTTATCTCAATTCAATATAAATAAATAATCATAAAAATGAACTTAATTATTAGATGATCTTTCTTTTACTTTGCCTTTCTCCCTTTGCAAGTGACCTACAAAAAATATATGAAAGATAGTTCGATTGATGTAAATCCAAATATCTAACAAATACAACCATAAAAATTCAAATTAAATGGTGATGATGATGGGAATGAGATGATAATCACTATGATAAAAAATAGTTGCAGTGAATATTCAATTATGTATTTATATAAAATTCTTACTATACTTGAAAGTTGGAACCATACATCTACATAATATCAAGCCATCATAACAATTTTGTTTTTTGATTGAGTAAAAATATGGGCTAATTGTCGCTAATATCACCACCTTACGCTTTTTGATAATTTTAACTAAACTTTTGAATATTAACAAACAAAGCATAATCATGTTTTAAATATTGCAACTTGAACTCAAACACCATCGGCAACGATATTTTTGCCAGTGTATCCAGCTAGGCTACTACGTGGACAAATTTTGTAGCTGACATTGTCAACTAATTAATCATGTGTTAAAAGTAAAAAAGAAATAAATCTCAATTTTAACAAAACCAAAAATTCTCAAATTCTCTTACCCTTAATTTTACGTCGCTGCCGCGTGTCAGCCCCAAGGCCGCCGCCACCACTGATTCTCGATAAGGGTTTGAGAAAGAGAGGAAAAACAGAGGTGGGGATTTCTCCTCACTGTACTTGGGACTCTTTCGATAGAAATCAGACAAGGCGGGCTCGAATCCTGACCCGATTCACGATCCTGGACCTCCGATCGAAACTTCCTAATCCGCCCCTACCCATGTGATTCTTTGACATATTTTCTCACCGACCGACGGAAAAAGAACACCAGGTTGTTCTTTGTTCTTCATCGATGAGTTCAACGGCGGATCGCGACTAAAGAGAACTCGCAACAAGGGAATGTCCCTGGTGGCGCGCTCCGGCGACAAGGACTGCAGCGGATCAAGCAGATGCTCGCCGGAATTGCCCTAACGCTGAAGGTAGATCCCACAGAGGATGTCGGCGCAGGCGCGATAGGGCGAAAGAAAGGCAGCGGCGCACGCGAAGGGCGTTTCGTCGGGGTTGAAGTTCTGCTTGAGCCCCTTTGGTTCGGGCCCGCCCGAGCCACTACTGGAGCCAGAAGGACCTGCCACCGAAAATGTCTCTGGCTGGGGAACCAGGGTTCCGGCTAATCCGTGCTTCTCCACAACGACGTCGTTTTCGCAAGAACCGACCCGGCTAAGCTAGCCTTTGACTTTTGACCAGGAGAAAATTATCTCGTGTACATAATTACGATGTTATATCCACTAGTAAATATCCTGCGCACATGCACAGATGTACATAAAACATTATAAGTAATATTTAATAATTTAATATTAAAATTTTAGATAATGAACAAATTATATTTTTAAAATTTAATCATTAGGAAAAATAAATTAATGATTGTTTTTTTTTTTTTTTTTCGAAACGATAGAAATTCTCATTAACTGAAAAAGAGTACAAGTCGGAGGATTAACTAATCCTACTACATAAGCAATACAAGGGGAGGACCACTAAACACTTAGTGTCCTAAATCCGATCAACAGAACCACACAAAGACCATAGGCAAGTGAAACACTTGGCACCTACAATCAAAAACAGCCCAGAGCCAAAGAAAAAAACTGACTAGAAATACATAGTTGAAAACTGAACACAAGTGACCTAATCAACTAGCCATTTCCAGAATTAATCCACGGAGAGTTTGCGGTTTTTGAATTCTGTCCACTCCCGCCAAGCATTGTTCACAATAACCTTGACAGGAATCCATTCATTTCGAAACACCCATAAGTTTCGGGCCTTCCATAGCCACCAAAGAATGTAGGTGGAGAGTTGTATGCGAGATTCGGCAATATCAGTTTTTTTGAGTTCAGAAACCCTCCACCACCAGTCATTAAAAGTCCCTTCATTATGCTCATAGAAATCCCATTGCAAAGCTGAAAGTTTCCAAACCTTTGATGCTCTATGGCAATGAAACAGTGTATGAGCAATATTTTCCTTTTCTTCACCGCAGCTTTTACATACCTCATCCACTTCCACACCTCTGTGCTTGAGAGTTGCTGCAACCGGCAATGTACCTGTAAAGCACTTCCAAATAAAATGTTTAAGTTTCCCTTTGATATCCAATTTCCAACATCTTAATCTGGCTTGCTTGTCAATGTTAGCAGAGCTGCTACTTTCAGGTCTGTCAATTCTCAGCAATTTTTCATTCACAAAGGCAGAGTATGCAGATTTGACAGAGAAAAGGCCAGAAGCATCCAAAAGCCAGGTCCATCTATCTTTTTTGGCAGGATCAAGCATTTTAATTTTCAAGATTTCAGTAACAATTGAGTCATCAAAAAGCTCCTTTAGGAGTTCAATATTCCAGCTTCTCCCCCCCTCTTCAAGTAGCTCAGAGACCATTGTGGGATGCTGCAGACTTTCATTTTTGAAGTGAGGTTTTCTGCTTTTCAGCTTCTGTATCCAGGGGTCTTTAAGAATTCTGGTGTTAATGCCATCCTTTACATCCCTAATGAAACAGTGCTTGTATTTGTTTTTGATGGTCATCCAACAGTTCCACATCCAAGATGAGCTTTGAGTCTTTTGAGCATCAATGACAGAACCATTAGGAAAATATCTGGATTTCAAGATCTTGGACATCAGTGAGTTGGGCATGGTCAGAAGTCTCCAAATCTGCTTTAGGACAAGAGCTTCATTGAAGAGTTGCACATCTTGGAAGCCCAAACCTCCCCAATGCTTTGGAGTTGTCATCCAGTGCCAAGTTTTATAGTGAATGCCTTTATTCTGCTGATCACCAGAACTCCACCAGAAATTTGCACACAACTTTGAAATTTCTTTACAAATCCCTTTAGGCAAAGTAAACACAGACATTAAGAATACAGGCATAGCATTAAGGACTGACTTAATAAGCACTTCTTTGCCTGCTGTTGATAAGAAGGTATTTTTCCAGCTTTGCAATTTCTTTCTCACAGCCACTAACACAGAGTCAAAGACTTCTTTCTTTGATTTTCCAATCCCCAAAGGCATGCCCAAATATCTTGTTGATCTATGCACAGAAATACCATGAAGGATATTACAAATTTGTTGCTGCAGGGGTAGAGGGGAGTTTTTGCTGAAAAAAGCAGTGGATTTCTCAAGGTTTACAGTCTGCCCAGTGAACCTTTTGTATTTAGCAAGGATGTTAAGAAGAATGTGGCTTTGATGGCTAGAGGCTTCACAAAAAACAAGTGAGTCGTCAGCAAAAAGGAGGTGTGTGATGGGTTGTCCATTTCTAGACAGTTTCACACCCTGAAATTGATTTCTTCTCACTTCCTCATGAATAAGTCTGGTGAGCACTTCAGAAACAATGATAAACAGATAGGGGGATAAGGGATCCCCCTGTCTGATTCCTCTAGAAGGAGAGACAAAGCCACAGACCTGCCCATTGAGGTTAAAGGAGAAGGCTGCTGATGAGATACAAGCTGAGATCCATTTAACAAATGTCTTGTGAAAACCCATCTGCAGGAGAACTTTGACCACACTGTTCCATTCAAGCCTGTCAAAGGCTTTCATCATATCCAACTTGATAGCCATGTAGCATTTTTTCCCTGATCTATGCCTGTTTAAAAAGTGAATGGCCTCTTGAGCTATGATCACGTTGTCCATCAATTGTCTTTCAGGTAAAAAGGCAGACTGACAGTCACTAATGCAGGAAGGCAGGCAATCCTTCAGCCTTGTGGCTAAGACTTTTGAAATTATCTTATAAGAAACTCCACACAGGCTGATAGGTCGAAATTGAGTCAGAGAAGTTGGGTTGAGGCACTTTGGGATTAATGTGATTAAGGTATGATTCCAGCTCCTAAGAAGTCTTCCTGATTGAAAGAAACTTTCTACTGCCTTGCAAAGATCCAATTTGATGATTGGCCAAAAGTGTTGGAAGAACAAGGGAGACATTCCATCTTCTCCAGGTGCTTTTCCTGGGTTCATGCTGAAGAGAGCATTCTTAATTTCATCTTCAGTCACATCAGCAGTTAGGGAACAGTTCTGATCAGCAGAAATGGTATTAGGGATCAGGGGCAGCACTTCATTTTCTCCACTGGATCCTTTAGAGCTAAATAACTGGTTATAAAACTCTTCCACAAATCTTTCAATATCAGCTTGGTTGTCTGCAATTTCATTGTGCTCATTGACTAGCCTGGTAATTGAATTTGTTCTCCTCCTCTGGATAGTTAGAGCATGGAAAAATTTTGAATTCTGGTCCCCTGCCTTAAGCCAGCAGTTTCTTGCTTTTTGTTGCCAAAAGAGCTCTTCAGATGTGTGAGCTGCATCTAACTCCTTCTGAATTCTGTCCCATTCTTCCCAGTTATGCTGCCCTCCTGCTTGTCTCATTTCTTCAAGGCTTAAGGTAAGCTTGGCAATGTTTAGGGCATTATCAGAGTGTAAGGCTTTTCCCCAGATTAAAAGAGCAACTCTAGTGGCTTTGATTTTTTCCCTCATTATGAACATAGGAGTCCCTTCCTTCTGTTGGTTCCAGGCCTCTTTAACTGTTGCCTCCACATCTGCTTGATGAAGCCACCTTTTGTCAAAAACAAATCTTCTTTTCTTGTTCAGAGCATTTGGATATTTAGAGTCCAGAAGAAGCATGAGGTGGTCAGATGAGCTTTGAAAGAGAGTATGAACAACTGCATTAGGGTGCTCAGCCAGCCAGGTAAAGGAACCAAAAACCCTGTCAAGTTTTTCTTCAATAAGGCCTTCCATGTCCCTTTTGTTCCACCAAGTGAATTTGTGACCTCTCATTTCAACTTCCTCAATACCCATCCCAGCTATAAATCCATTGAATCCCTGAAAACTGCCCAAAGGTCTCACCCTTCCTCCTTTCTTGTCATCTTGAGAGCATATATCATTCCAATCTCCCCCAATGGCCCATTTAAGGCCCCATTTGCTCTTGGCATTCATAAGATAAGCCCACTGATCTTCTCTAACTGCTCTATCAGTGCTGGCATACACTAGGATCAGCCAAGAGGAGTCAGCAGCCCCTACCTCTTTAAACTCAATCTCAAAACAAAAGTCATTACTCAGAAGCTGCAAAATATCTACATCAATACCCCACATTAACAATAAACCTCCACTTAACCCCCTTGGATCAACACTCCTCCATCTATCCTTGAATCCCAATTTCTTGCAAACTGTTTTAGAGAATTCTATATTATTCCTAGTTTCAGATAAAAAAATAAAACTTGGGTGATGGTGCTTGATAGCTCCCCTCAACTGGGCAACTGTAGAGGGCCCACCCAGACCTCTACAGTTCCACAGGATTGTCTTCATTGATCACTTTGGGGCCAATTTAGGTTGGCTACCACCACCTGATTGTTGTTGAGCTTGGCTTTCTTTATATCTCTAGGAACTGCTTGGGAAGATTCCTCTTGCTTTGCTGGGCTGGGGGAATTAACTTTCCTTTTCTTGACTTCAACAGATTCATCTTGTTTGAGGACAATACCTTGTTGCCTTGACAGCCTACCCTCTGCCTTTGGCTGTCTCTTCCAAGTTTTGGTTGTTGAGGTGGCTTTGCGATTGGGCTCCTGATTGTTGGCAATAGTCAAGCACAGATTCTCTGGGGTTAGGGCTTCCACATCCATGGTGTTAGAGACTTCTTGTCCGAGGACTTGAGTTTCATTAACGGGGGGCAGAGATGTTGGATGGAGAGCCAATATTTGAGAGGATGAGTTTTGAGCTGAGAGAGTTTTGATTTTTCCTGGGATTTGTTGGTCTTCTGAGTTAACCTCTGTCACTTTAATCAGAGTCTTGCAGTTGTTAATTCCTTCTACCTGGCTTTGATTTTCAAAGTTGTCTTTCCCTGATGAAGAGGGCATATGGTTATGCTTGGAGGGATCCGAATTGGTTTTGGTCTGCTCAGAATAGTGTTGTAGCAAATTTTGTTTTATATTTTTCCGAGCACCGAGTTAAAAACTCGTTTCCCGGGTCGATCTCAAGGACTGGTCAATCGAA